ATATATAATGGATGCCTTTTGCCCTCCCCCCCCTCCCCCCTCTGTGTGTCTAACAATAAGTATAATTTTTATATTACGTGTACAATGCTTGTCACATTTTCGTTGTTCTCTTTTTACGTTTGATAAATTAACATTCAGTTAGTTGAGTGAGTTATTCTCCTTATCGCTTATATTGACGATTCTTATCACCTCGAAGACGATATATGTATGTATACTACGACGACTGTTAAACTCGCCCCGCGTACGCACACGCGCATGGCATAGAAACGGTTTAGTAACTTGGTCCTCTTTAATTGGGAGTTTTTATATTAATGTTCGACCGTGTTCGGTTCCTTCTTTCTCATTCGTACATTACTGTTGCTTGCATGTTGTTATTTCTCTATCAGATGCTCCTCTCCTTACATTCGACTTGATATATATATATAAATCGCCTTATCATAAAACAGTTTCGACTGTAAAGGATTAAATCGATACAAATGCGACACGAATAATTGCTCTCGGTTCATACTATGATATATAGTAAGATAAAAAAAAAATGTATTCATGTATATAATCGCGAATATCAATCCTTATCTAGGCAACGTCGATTTATCAAATTCACAAAAATTCATTCCCTCTCTAAAACAAATTTCCAACTTTATAAGATTCTATATTATTTTCAAGCATTCGAAAAAAAAAATATATTTATGAAGAGAGATGTGTGAAATATTTTATATAGTTATATAAAATTAACAAAATATATTTTTATTTTATATAATATTAAATTTTTATATGTATAAATGATTTTTTTACTTTAGGTTGCTCGGATAAGGATTAATCCGTCTCTCTCTTTCTCTTTCTCTCTCTTTGACGTCTTCATATTATTTGTCTTATAAAACGAAAAAGTTCCAAGACGAATGCGCCCAATTTGCGAGGTTACTGTTGTTTCATTCAATACGCGCTATACGGACAAAGAACTTTGCCCAGACGTGAGAAACGTATGAGGCATGATCGTCCTGGAGCCTGGCTTAAATCATCTGTTGCATCTCTCTCTTTCTTCCTTTTTTTAAATATTAATAGCTGTGCCCATATCTATCTCGCGCTTACGAGTATCAATTCTGTGACTTTTGCGATCTCATCCTCTCGACAATTGGCCTTCTATTACAATAGGGATGTTCTTTTCTTGCTCCTAATTCTTTCATTGAATATTTTCGCGTCGATAAATATCGATTTCATGGCAAGATTTCATGGCCGCCGTCTCGTCTGCGTGTTTTAACTTTATTAAATTGGTAAACAGCAAAAATCAATCGAATAATAAATATAAATATTTTTATTAATAAATTTTTTTTTTATAGTAATTATTTTTATATTGTAATACAAAGATAATAAAAATTTTTAATATTTTTGTCAGTGTTAATTATCTCGCAGGTTTTATTAGCAAATTTTAAATTTAAAAATTATTTTGTTACCAGCACAAATGTGTGTATATGGTACACGAAATCATGCCACGAAATATCGTTTCACTTTTTGTCACTCTTCTTGCTTACGATACTAAAACTACTGTAAACTGTGCCACGATGTTCGCGTACCCTCGATGGAACTCACTTGGGACTCAACTTGATACGGTCTCGTGGATCATGCTCATCCTCCTTTACGTTACATCTTTTTCCTATTATTGACTACCGTTACGAGTTACTCTATTAATTATAGATTCGATTGACTGTCGAGTATTGTAATACGGTACAAGAGAGACGAGTATTTATAGGTAATCTCAAATATTACGAAAAAACGTGGCCGAGTTGTAGAATTACGTGCGTTTCGTAAGACTACTAATCTACTTTCTTGCGAGATGACTTTATACGAGTCGAGATACGAAATATAAGAACAAAATACGAGCAACGTCGACGAATGAGTCTTGCAGAAAATAGATGAATTAAAAGTTGGCTTAAAAGAAATTTCAATTTCTGTAAAACCTCTATCATTATTTCATTATTGTATGCAGGAAAAAGATCCAACCCGCAATAGATACATCGATATTATATCGATAGGCATATTAAGAACGGATAATTGCCTTTCAGGTCAATTATTTTATGCTTTTATCACATCCGCGTATTAATTTCGTTGCTTCTTTCAGTTATTATTGCATTAGTAATGTAGTGAAAATTTTATTCCACGTATATATTTCTCATATCTTATTTTTACATTTCAGTGCATCTCGACGTTACCCGCCCGTCGCGTTCTCGAGAGGAAGGGAAAATGAATCGTAGGTAGGAGACCTCCGAAAAAACGGCGACTTCTCTTCCCGTTCATCGCTGCATTTCTACGGCAAAAAGAACGATCGAAGTCTACTCACTTGGTGTCGATATTTTTGTACTAACTAAAATCACTAAATCTCTCTTTCTCTCGCTCACTGGGCGCTAATCTCGTTAACGATAAGCGTGTACGCCGTTCCGTGAACCACTGTACGTTTAATTAATTAAGTTCGATCAATCCCTCCCGCTATCTTACAATCGCTCGTAAAGTTTTTCGTACCAAAATATGTCTAAGTTATATTAAAAACGCTTTAGGGACGTGCGCGTGGATACGGGGGAGAAAATATGTAAGGGTTTAAAATATACGACGAGAGAAAATTAGCGTCACTTTTCCTTCTCGCTTATACATGCGACCGCCTTAGGCAACTAAGATAAAAGGGATGTAATTCAAGCGCAACTTGTTGACTAGATCGTAAGTACTTTTTCTCCTCTCCTTATAATTCCATCCAGCTCCTCCTTTCTTCTTTTTGGTCATATCTTTAGTATGACGTTGCGAATTGCATCTTCTACAAAACGCACTCATACACGATTCACTCTTTTCATTCTTCTTGCTCGAAGCGTAAAAATATCTCTCAAATAATATAATATCTCTTTATCAGTATATTCAGCTTCAATGTATCGTATGCTACAAACGCGAATTTTTATTACATTGCTAAAATATAGGAATCGCGTATTCGTAAAAGTAATCATATGACTAGATTTTATAAATTAAAACAAATAAATTGAGCAACAATTTCTATTAATACTAAGGATGTAAAATGTTAATCGATTTCTTAAAGTTCTATATATATAAATAATGTGTATATAATAACAAGATATATAATAAAAATAAATTGATAATATTGTATATCAAAGACTTTGTCCATAGGAACTCTGGTAATAATGCAAACGTGCGATGAGAAAAGAACATTCGTTAAAAAGTAATCTCATAATTCTTTGTCACATCAAGTATTAAAAATTTAAAACAAAAGATATGTAATTTCAATATTCTATAAAATGGAATATCCAAATGATATCACCGACAGATATCGAAGAGAAATCCGCGAAATTCGGGATGTATCTCTTTCGCGGATGTAAAAAAAAAAAATATCGATAAACTTGAACGAAACGTTACAATTGCTCGTGCTTTTAACAACCGAGGAAATGATGTGTTCCATAATTCAGTGTAGCAGTACGACCGACCCTTTTGCCACCGAATGGTCATTTCTGCATTCAACAGGTGGTCCAGTTTACGTGAAATGTTGATGAAAACTTTCCACGAGTACTTGCGCGTGCGTTACGTTAAGGATCCCGGCAAAAACCCTGCAAGAGTGCACCATTAAATGCGCAAACGACCTTACATTATCTGCCCTCAGGTGACAGTTGTTATACTCGAAATAGTTTTATAAAAAAAAGTATAATATAAAAAAACTTTTATAGCGATAATTAAATTTGCGATAGTTTCATCAGTACATCACAAAATTCTAATTCTAATTGCACGTTTTGAGATCATCTTTTTAGTAAATAAAATTAATAGAGAGATATTTTTTTCGTTGAAGAAAATTAAAAGTTTTCTCGTTTTCAGAAAAAAAACAGAAAAAACAATCAGTGTAGATTTTTATCATCGAGCAAAGATGGATGAAAAAAGTGCTTCTTTAAACTAATATTAAGAAACTTATTGCACTATTTTCCGCCATCGACTTTATCGCTGCTCATTCCGAGAGAGCATCTCGATTCGTCGTTCTTGCGAATTCACGAAATGAGATGGTGTATCTGCGATGCTATCATATCGATCTTCGGCGCGAAAGAATGCCCAAACATATTGAAATATTGATATCGTTTTATGTCGAGACATTCTTACGCGTCAGACTTGCCTAAAAATAACTAGCGAATCAAAATACAGATCTTCTCACTGATGGAAAAGAAGTTTCTCTATGCATCGAAGAAAGAGATCTCAATGGTCGGCCAGTTTTTTTTCTTTTTTTTTTTTCCTTTTTGTTACGCTAATACTTTATTCAGGGAACAGCCAGTTGGAGAAATCAAGCACAGAGGTTTCGAACGGAGAAATTGAAATTTATTATAGGCGGAACTTCTCATCGGAAAATATATAGTCGGCAACGATTGAAAAATTAATGGCCGGTTTCATCGATTTTCGTTAGCAAAAGTATTTATCTGTTGGAAATAAGCGCGCGAAGCTCTCTTCTCGACCTTCCGGTATCAAGGAGAAAGAGAGAATCGGGAAAACGATCCTAAAAATAGAACCGAGCGAAATACGAGAGAAGCGCGATGCGGTGAAATATTCAGAGAAACTTCTTTCCACGAGTGGAGGAGACGAGCGCGAGATCTAGAGACGCCGATATGTCAATTACCTTCTCGTCCTCGTTCCCAGTAGCAGCCGCCGAGATTTTTGTCGCCCTCCGCCCATCCGCGACGTTTAAAGCCGACGAGTAAATCGAATTACTTTGCGCTTACCGAGAGATACCCGTTGAAATTGGATGTTACCGGAGATTCGACGTCTGATCGTCGTCTGCGATGCACAAAAGAGCGAAGCTCTTCTCGACAGTGACAGCAAGTCATTAGCCCGTTCTGCAATTTTGAGTAAAATCTTATCGATTAATTGGAAGACATCTCTTTCTTTCTCTTTTCTTTCTCTTTTTCTCTCTCGTTTACCATTTCACGTATTCTCCAATCCGAAGCAATCCAATCTCTCCGGACTTAGCGGAGAGCAGAATTCTCGTTACGACAAATTCCGAGACGGTCGGATCTCGAGAACGCGTTTAATCGCGCTAATATCCTTTCGAGAGAGAGAAAAAAAGTAGAAAATTTCACTTAAAAAGGAGAAAGAGAAAGAAAGAAAAATTTTGATAAATCGACAAATAAAAGTAAGATTTAGATGCATCCGAGATTTTTTACTCATTGTCAGTGCATCAAATTGAAATATTTGAGACACAATGAAAAAATATCTAATGAAAAATAATTTAAACTAAAATGCCAATAGGAAACAAAGAACGCTATAATTTATCACAGATGCCCGAAAGTCCCGATATTAAATCTCCTTGCACAAACGCGGAATTTTTTTTTTAAGCTCGAAGATAAAAGAAACACGAGGATTTGTTATCGAGCGCAATAAAATAGACTTGACTGCTGACTCGAATTCCGTGCAAAACAATCGAAATCAATCGCATTCGCACGACAATGAGAGGCCTGCAGCGATTTACCGTGTATTTATGTGTGTGTATGTGTGTGCGTGTGAGTGCGTATGTGTATGTCGTCTTCCCTTTCTATCCTTTTGGTTTATGAATGGATACAAAGATGTGTATCTGTGCAGCATACTATGTATTTCTACATCGCCGGTCAACGCCGGATAACGTCACTGCAATCTTCTACGTTTACGTCGTGCTTGACCGGCTGCAAATTGCGGATTGATCGGTTAGCACGAGCGCGCTATTAGGTCTAAATACGAGAACAACGGTCACGATCGATCGCGGGACTATCGCGGCAAATTAAAGTGCCCGTAACTCACGCGAATAGGTATATGAAAACGCAAAGTTGCTCGCGACACGCGCAAGCTAAGAATTTTCCAACGGGAAACGATAAAGAAATCCAACGTTAATTTTCAACGAAAGAGAAATCACGATAAAGAATTGATTCCGCGAACGCGGAGAATCTACCTACCTGTAATCGCCGTCCGGCGCGTCGTCGGCATCCCGGTTACGTCTTATGACGGCGCGTCCACGTCGTAGCTGCTATCGCTCTCGTTCTCGCGCTGACACGCCGACTCCAGGTGCTTGTTCAAGTAAGACTTGAGCGCGAACGACTTGTGACACTTGGGGCACTCGTAGTTCTTGTCGGCCGAGTGGGTCTGCATGTGCGCCCGCAGATTCGAACGATCGGCGAACGCCTTGCCACAATGAGCGCATCCGTACGGCTTCTCGCCGGTATGACTGCGGAGATGACCTTGCAGCAGCCAGGGCCGCGAGAACATCTTGCCGCATACGCCGCAGCTATGCGTTAGCTTGTGCGTGAGCACGTGCATCGCCAGGGCGGGCATGCTGACGTACGCCTTGCCGCAATGAATGCACTTCTTGGCCGATTGCGAGTCGATGCTGCGATGCGTCTGCTTGTGCCGCGACAGATTCGACGAGGTCGCGTACTGTTTGCCTGATGAATAAAGAGAAGAAAGGGTGCGGGTTGACTGGAGAGAATATTCACACAATGTAAAATGTTAAATTGTATATCTCTGGGATTAACGTATGCATGATATTTGTCAACTTAAAAATTAATAATTTAGTATTATAAATTATTATAAACTTATATAAACATATAATATAAAGTATACTCGTAATCTCTAATATATTATATCAACTTTAAAAATATTTTCAACATATTTTATTCGCAAAAAGAATATTATACAAAATATCCTCTCTTCTGTTCTTTATTCATATAAATTTGGTGTGTGAGATAGAGTATATTTAAAATATAATTAAAAAAAATATGAAACCATACTAGATCGATAAATTTATATTACACGAGTAGGCGTTAAAATATTTATCTAAAATAAATTAAAAAAAAAAAAATATGCGTGAACAAAACAAAAACTAGATAAAATCAATTAATTCTAAAGAGAAACCAAATGAAGAAAAATATCGAGCTAAATATATTGTAGGATTAATTTAATTTATCCTCATTTTATATCTACATTCTACTCACCGCACTCGCAACACACGTAACGACCAGTCTTGGAGGTCTCGGGTGTCTCGATCGGTTCGGTCTCTTGATTCTTTTGTACAGGAGATGCCTTCTTGTTCTTCGATCTGCCGTCCGAGACGAGCAACGTGTCATACGTGTAACTGGCCGGTTTCACCCCATCCGTTTGCTCGGTAATGGTCTGCACCTCCTTGTCCCTCTGCGACGGCTGCGAGTTCGGGTTGCTGTTCTCGATGTCACTACTACACTCGGAAGTCGGTGGCGTCAACGGCGGGGTCGTCTCGATCTGCTGCAACGGCTGCTGCTGAGATTGTTGTTGCTGCTGTGGCGGCGGCGGTGGCGGCTGATGCTGTGACTGCTGAGCGACGATCGACGTGCACGGTATAGTGGACGTGCTGTACGTGAGTAGAATCTCCTGTACCGGCGACAAAGGTATGAAGACGCTGCCCGAGGGTGGTACAATAGTCGCGCTAGGTTCGTAAATGATGCTGGCGGCCGTGGCGGGTTGCTGCTGCTGCTGCTGCTGCTGTTGTTGCTGCTGATGATGATGATGACCGTAAATGGTCGAGCCGGCCAGATCTATCGTATTGACCTGATAAATCGGCTGCTCGGCCGGTTGGTAGACCGTCATCTCCTGGACGTCGCTCGCCGGCGCTTCGATCACGCTCTGAGGACCGATGGCTACGCTCGGTGGCGGCAATGGTGGCAGCGATCGCGATAGTTCGAGAAGATCGTGCGCCGCCTCCGTCTCCGCCGCGGAGCGATCCTTGAACATGGACGACACGTGGCTGGGCATCAGCACGCCGCAGGACGCCGTGGGAGCGAGTCGTATCCTGAAATCGTTGGCTGTCCTCGAGTGCTCCGGAGTGTCTTCCAGGTGATAGGACGTCGTCGACGACGTCGAGGAGACGGCGGAAGACGATTCTCCGACGGATGTTGGATGGTACAGCATCGCGATGGACGTTGTCGCCATCGCGGTTTCGGGTCTCCCGGAAGCCGTTCGCACGACGCTAATATCTAATGAAAAATAATTTAAACTAAAATGCCAATAGGAAACAAAGAACGCTATAATTTATCACAGATGCCCGAAAGTCCCGATATTAAATCTCCTTGCACAAACGCGGAATTTTTTTTTTAAGCTCGAAGATAAAAGAAACACGAGGATTTGTTATCGAGCGCAATAAAATAGACTTGACTGCTGACTCGAATTCCGTGCAAAACAATCGAAATCAATCGCATTCGCACGACAATGAGAGGCCTGCAGCGATTTCCCGTGTATTTATGTGTGTGTATGTGTATGTCGTCTTCCCTTTCTATCCTTTTGGTTTATGAATGGATACAAAGATGTGTATCTGTGCAGCATACTATGTATTTCTACATCGCCGGTCAACGCCGGATAACGTCACTGCAATCTTCTACGTTTACGTCGTGCTTGACCGGCTGCAAATTGCGGATTGATCGGTTAGCACGAGCGCGCTATTAGGTCTAAATACGAGAACAACGGTCACGATCGATCGCGGGACTATCGCGGCAAATTAAAGTGCCCGTAACTCACGCGAATAGGTATATGAAAACGCAAAGTTGCTCGCGACACGCGCAAGCTAAGAATTTTCCAACGGGAAACGATAAAGAAATCCAACGTTAATTTTCAACGAAAGAGAAATCACGATAAAGAATTGATTCCGCGAACGCGGAGAATCTACCTACCTGTAATCGCCGTCCGGCGCGTCGTCGGCATCCCGGTTACGTCTTATGACGGCGCGTCCACGTCGTAGCTGCTATCGCTCTCGTTCTCGCGCTGACACGCCGACTCCAGGTGCTTGTTCAAGTAAGACTTGAGCGCGAACGACTTGTGACACTTGGGGCACTCGTAGTTCTTGTCGGCCGAGTGGGTCTGCATGTGCGCCCGCAGATTCGAACGATCGGCGAACGCCTTGCCACAATGAGCGCATCCGTACGGCTTCTCGCCGGTATGACTGCGGAGATGACCTTGCAGCAGCCAGGGCCGCGAGAACATCTTGCCGCATACGCCGCAGCTATGCGTTAGCTTGTGCGTGAGCACGTGCATCGCCAGGGCGGGCATGCTGACGTACGCCTTGCCGCAATGAATGCACTTCTTGGCCGATTGCGAGTCGATGCTGCGATGCGTCTGCTTGTGCCGCGACAGATTCGACGAGGTCGCGTACTGTTTGCCTGATGAATAAAGAGAAGAAAGGGTGCGGGTTGACTGGAGAGAATATTCACACAATGTAAAATGTTAAATTGTATATCTCTGGGATTAACGTATGCATGATATTTGTCAACTTAAAAATTAATAATTTAGTATTATAAATTATTATAAACTTATATAAACATATAATATAAAGTATACTCGTAATCTCTAATATATTATATCAACTTTAAAAATATTTTCAACATATTTTATTCGCAAAAAGAATATTATACAAAATATCCTCTCTTCTGTTCTTTATTCATATAAATTTGGTGTGTGAGATAGAGTATATTTAAAATATAATTAAAAAAAATATGAAACCATACTAGATCGATAAATTTATATTACACGAGTAGGCGTTAAAATATTTATCTAAAATAAATTAAAAAAAAAAAAATATGCGTGAACAAAACAAAAACTAGATAAAATCAATTAATTCTAAAGAGAAATCAAATGAAGAAAAATATCGAGCTAAATATATTGTAGGATTAATTTAATTTATCCTCATTTTATATCTACATTCTACTCACCGCACTCGCAACACACGTAACGACCAGTCTTGGAGGTCTCGGGTGTCTCGATCGGTTCGGTCTCTTGATTCTTTTGTACAGGAGATGCCTTCTTGTTCTTCGATCTGCCGTCCGAGACGAGCAACGTGTCATACGTGTAACTGGCCGGTTTCACCCCATCCGTTTGCTCGGTAATGGTCTGCACCTCCTTGTCCCTCTGCGACGGCTGCGAGTTCGGGTTGCTGTTCTCGATGTCACTACTACACTCGGAAGTCGGTGGCGTCAACGGCGGGGTCGTCTCGATCTGCTGCAACGGCTGCTGCTGAGATTGTTGTTGCTGCTGTGGCGGCGGCGGTGGCGGCTGATGCTGTGACTGCTGAGCGACGATCGACGTGCACGGTATAGTGGACGTGCTGTACGTGAGTAGAATCTCCTGTACCGGCGACAAAGGTATGAAGACGCTGCCCGAGGGTGGTACAATAGTCGCGCTAGGTTCGTAAATGATGCTGGCGGCCGTGGCGGGTTGCTGCTGCTGCTGCTGCTGCTGTTGTTGCTGCTGATGATGATGATGACCGTAAATGGTCGAGCCGGCCAGATCTATCGTATTGACCTGATAAATCGGCTGCTCGGCCGGTTGGTAGACCGTCATCTCCTGGACGTCGCTCGCCGGCGCTTCGATCACGCTCTGAGGACCGATGGCTACGCTCGGTGGCGGCAATGGTGGCAGCGATCGCGATAGTTCGAGAAGATCGTGCGCCGCCTCCGTCTCCGCCGCGGAGCGATCCTTGAACATGGACGACACGTGGCTGGGCATCAGCACGCCGCAGGACGCCGTGGGAGCGAGTCGTATCCTGAAATCGTTGGCTGTCCTCGAGTGCTCCGGAGTGTCTTCCAGGTGATAGGACGTCGTCGACGACGTCGAGGAGACGGCGGAAGACGATTCTCCGACGGATGTTGGATGGTACAGCATCGCGATGGACGTTGTCGCCATCGCGGTTTCGGGTCTCCCGGAAGCCGTTCGCACGACGCTGTAGTTTTCTCTGCGAGAGAGACGATCGATTCTGTCGGCGATGGAGTCGTCGGTGACGTCGTCGGGGTGCATGGCGTCACGGTGATCACGGTGGTCGTCTCCATTCGCATTGTCATCGAGCAATCCGTTGCGGATATTGCATCCGTGGAGATAACGGATAACGACGACGGCGTCGACGACGACGATGATGATGACGATGTCGTGGTCGTTGACGCGGTACTCGCGACCACGTCGCTCGATGCTTCTTCCTTCAAGGACTTAGCATCGGGCACGACGGAAGTCATCGGTTGCGTGTCGGGACACTCTGCGGGAATCATAAAGATCGAGTTTGAGAGTTCGTGATAATTCCAGTTACCGCGCGAGACGTGTAAGAGAGGAAAACAATACGTATGTAAGGCTGATCGATTCAAATCGGGTCTTATTATTGCGAGACGTCTCTGTTCGCCGCGGGGGGTGTAATATAGCTTTCTTCGCTTCCGTTTGAATTTTTAATCGAGATTTAACGACGCCATGGGCTTTTAAATAGCATAAGAAGAGTATCCGATTCTCGTTACCGGCGCGATAGCAAAGAGTGTCGAATCTTGATGATAGCAGGAAATGCAGCGATAGACGATGGACGGGGGTGGAAGAGGGGAACAAAAATGTGGGTTGCACAATACGCGGATAGCGGAGGTGGTTGAAGGGGGGAGGAAGGAGAAGTTGGGAGAAAGGTAGCGAGGGATTATGACGGCAAATATGTTAGAAACGAGGTCAAAGGGGTTGGCAGCGGAGAGCCAAGAAGGTCGCGCGGAGTAAGCGGATATAAAATTTCACGATAACTCTGTTATGAAAGAGCACGTAACGTTTTTTAAGAGCAACCGACTTCCTTACGCCACCGTCGGCAGGTCGATCCGTTTTAATAATATTTCTGCGTCGTTGTTTGTTTCTGCATGCGGGCGAGATAAATTTCTATCGCGATCATGAGAGTTCGCGAACGGATCGACGTCGCTATGAATTATTATGCGAATGTATCGTGGATGTCCTGCCCTTCTCGCATAATACTGTTTCTCCGTTCGTGTCATATATCAACTTAGGATATGTGCAAAAGTTTCGCGGAAATATCCCAGTGTCATATAGGTATTGATATTCTAAAGAGAGATATGAGAGTATAAAAGTTACATTTTTTTATATACATACATCTTTATATTAATAAGATCATTTATATTAATTTGAGACGTAGGAAAATGGTTAAATTAAAGTTTGATTCCTTTTTCCCTTTCAGCATAAAAATTTACAAATTATTCTTCTCTAAGTAAAAAAACAAGAAAGGCAGAAAGTGCCTTGATTTTAAATGCTTCGATAATTTTACTACTTGCTCAAAAATCAATATACACTTTTATGGTTCTCGATGTAATTTTTAGATATCATATATTTTGTAATAATATACGATAAAACATCTCACCGCAATTAATTTCTTTAATTACTCTACCTTTGACTCGTTCAGCAAAATTTCAATAAAGGACAACGCTGCACTTTGAACGTTTCCGCGAACTATTTCAGCTAATTCCGAAACTCTCTCGTCTCTTTCGTGACGACAATGTGCTATAACACGCGCATTGCCATTACGATGATTCTGAGCGTCGCCTTTGTAAGTGCATTTACTGTCTCGGCAAGTTTCGCATGCCATTTTCGCACGAAGAGAGTTTACGGATGCGCCGTACAAGTAGTAATATGCCACGGGGAATTCCACGGACAATTAAGGTCGTTTCGTTGCGACCAGGCAACGCGCATTGTCGGCAATTACGCGGTACGCACAGCGGCTTGTGCCATTATCGCTTGATAATTCGATACAAACGGGCCGGCGCGTTTATATGCGTCCAAGTGAATTTCACAAAGTACCGCTAAAGTGCTAAAACAATCGCGAGAGAATAAACGAAAAAAAAAAAAAAAATAACTATCGTCTTTTTTTAAATATCTTCCAAAGAGAGAGAGAAATTATTTTAGTACGCAAGGAAATATATTAATGTAATTATTACATTTTAAATACAATATATATTTATAATTATTATATTGTAATATAAATATATATTAATAAATATATTAATATGCATATCGCGGAATTACATGAGAAGCTTTTTGTAGTTTTAAACAATATCTTTTTTTTTCTATTATTTACATATTATAATACACCACCTTTCTTGCCAAGTTTAGAATGAGAATCAATCGAAATTAACGCGGCAAAAAAAAAAAAATAAATAAATAAAAATAAAAAATCCTCGCAAAAAAAAAAAAAAAATTGTCGCAATGGCAACCGCTTACAGCTTTGGGGAGAAATATGACGAAACGTACCTTGTGCAATAGGGGGTGCGACGTGCCCCTCAGTGGGCGAGACGAGCAGCTGCATGGTGGTTGGCGATGGCGTGCTCCTTCCGCGACCCCAGCTCTCAAATCCTCTGGCAACGCTGCTTATGTACTTGTTGCACAGGGCCTTCTTTACCATGTAACAACGCGGCATCTTGGCCTCTGATCGTCGTTCACTTCTCACCGGGATTAATATCGCGGTGTATCGTTCTAAGATCACCAAACAACCGTTAAGTAAACAATCCTCTCTCGAGTATCTTTTCCCTCGTCGTTTCTTCGTACCGCGAAAGCGAGTACTTTATTGCGAATAAATACGTTCCCGTGATGATTTGCGAAGTATCAATCGCAAAGTATCGATCGTCAAAGTATCGCGTTTCCCCCTCGCACCAGGTTGCACTGCCTTCTTATTACCTCGGCGCGCGATATTCTTCGTTCGATATACCGTTAAGTATAATCGTCCTCGCGGAAACGCTGAATTTTATCTTCCACCGGACGTCGATCGATCCCTCAATCGATGCTCCAACTGTCCGTCCCATCCGCGCGTTTTCTCTCGGATCTCCCGAGACGCGACATGATCGTCTCGGCGACAGATCGGATTGTAACTTTTACACGGAATTCCTGTAGCAAGGAGGTGCGAGAGAACGACGTTGTTCCCTTAGGGAAAATAAAACAGCTCAGCTTGACAGACAATTCGCCCGGCGATATATCGCTATTTAATCCTAGACGTCGTTGCACGATTATTCTCAATAGGACTCCTGTGTAAACGTATATATACATATATATGTTTGTATAATTATATATAAGGATGAATGTGTGCGCGAGCGTACGTACGATCACCGGTGTCTTCATACGCGTATATATGCATTCGTATTAAAATATCTCTCAAGTGAAGCAAAGCTGGGAGGAGCTCCCGATCGAGTCCGCGCGAACGGGGGGGGGGGGGGGAAAGGTAGTTTCTACGCGCGGTCTCTCAGGTCGATCGGGGGTGCGAGATTATATAAGTGGTTGGTGGCGAGAAGCGTGTGCGCGGCTTGCCTTTGCTTTGTTCCTCGAGATTACCTTGTTTGTAGTATTGCTTTCGTTGTATATATTCACGGGTGGACGATTTACATTCTCTACGCCGGTCTCATGCCTGTCTGCGTGTCTCGTCGTTCGCGTATATCGGTCTATGTGCGCGTTCCATCCATATCTGGTTTATCTCTCTCTCTCTCTCTCTCTCTCTCTTTCTATCTTTCTCCTACGCTTCACCACCGCGACTTCGTTATCCCACGTTTCCTCCGGCAGTGCATGCGTCGCCGGAAACGGTCGTGCGCCGAGGTTTCCGTCGCTCTAGGGGAATCAAACGTTTCACTCGCCCGGTTGCTCCAGGTGATATCTCGTCTCGCCGATTCCCAATGACGTCGCTGCCCTGGGAGGCGCGTATTTCGACGATAACATTCTCATCGTGACAATTTAGATCCCCTTGCGACGACGAACGTTGAATATTTTTGTAAATTGATTAAGAACGACGTATGAATTCTAAGTGAAAGGGATTCTTCGAATTGACTTTTGAAATTGTGATGCGGTTAAAAGGCGATTCTTCGTTTATTTTGTTGATAAAATTGGGCTTTTTCCGCTTCGACGAAATTTCAAGATGAATTTTCTCCAGTCAATGATCCGCTGTTGCTCCCTTTATAGTTTAATAAACGTAACGACTTCTATTCGATACGTGAATAGTTCTATATAAGGAGTTGGTCCTCTGAATTACTCAGCGCTCGCAGTTTCCTTTGAATCGTAGGAAACGGATATTCTATGCTGAAGATGAAAGAAGAGTTTTTCTTCTAACGTCGTCTAACGTTCGTCTCCCTCAATGCGTCTTCACTTGATAAAGAGCGGAAATCTAGCGACGTAGAACGAATCCCATTCTCCTTACAAAAAAGATACGATCCGATATAGTTTCCGATTGAAGGAACACTGTATTAAAAACTGACGATCAAAAGTTGTACAAACTTATACAGGGAGTGGTAACACTGTATATAATTAATCGTCGTTAAAATCTTTTCCATTCTTTTATTTCTTCTCTCGCTTGAAATTTGCGTCGCGAAAACGTTTCCCTTTGGGTTTCGATCCTCTCCCGTCTACCTCACGTCCGCCGTTTCAGGGGTCGGTGCTCGGTCGTCGGAGCGCGGTGCTCCGATATGCGGGTGCAGTCCCGATGATCCTCCACGACCGTCGCGCTTCCTCCTCCTTCTCCTCCTTTTTCGAAAACAAGTCTCCTCACCTTCGACTCCGGAGATGGGCGGGTGTGCCTTCGCAGGGACGAGCAACAAGTTGGACAACAGGTCCGCGATGTTGTGTATCCGTGTGCGCCGGTGTGTGCGAGCGCTGCCGCCGCCGCCTTACGTGTGTGGTCGATAGCTCCCTCTAGCCCTCTCACCGCGACCCCGGAAATCCCGCGCGCACCCCCTCACAACCCCACACTCCCCCTCCCCCCGGCTCGCGCGCGCTCTCGCACCCTTCGGCGATGCACACACGCAGTTGGAGGCGACTTGGCTGACGTAGCGCTACGAGGCCCAAGTTGCTGGTGTGCTACTCTTCCCTCTCACTTTGCACGTCCGTGGCACCCTGGTGTCGCCAACTCTCTGATGTTCTCTCGCCGAGAGCCGAGGGCCTGGTGTGGACGACGAACGCTCCCGTAACGTGGTGTCGACGACGCGATCCACGCGGACTACCGGTGGGTCTCGCTCGCTCGGCGGACGGATATACACGAGGCGTAACCACGACAACGAGCACCGCGACGACGGCGACGACGGCGACGATGACGGCGGCAGCGGCGGCGGCGGCGGCGGCGGCGACGGTGGTGACGTGGAACGAAAGCCAACGACGGGTCGAACAAGGACGACGACGACGACGACGACGACGACGATGACGATAACGACGACGACGACGACGATGAGACGACGATAACGACGACGACGACGACGAGAAGGACGACGACGACGACAGCGGACACGACGAGCACCGACCGAGCTTCGCGAAGATCGAAGACGAAGATGTACCACCTGTAGGCGCAGAAGCAACAATTGTCCGCCGTGTATCGCGGTGGAGGGTAGCCCGACTACATGGCTCGTACCGGGTGTGGCTGGGGTGCAACTGCCAATGCAGCGTCGCCGACGAGCGTCGCCCCGCGTCCCGGGCGCCTGCGTCCTCGCCGCCGCGCTCGTGTGCAGCGCGTTTCACCCCCGTCCCTTTACCTCCCGCCCGTCCGCGTAACTCGCGTTCCCAAACCCCCTTTCCTGGGGGGGAGGGGGGAGGGGGGACTCGCTCTCCCGCCACACGTCGGTTGCGGCGCCATCCTCCCGCAGCGTTCTCTCGTTCTCGCGCTCCTCGTTCTTACGCGCCCACCCTCTCTCTCTCCTCGTACTACTCGATCGAGGAGAGTTACCGCGAGGGGTGGGGGGAGGGGAGAAAGGCCGGTAGAGGGTGGATCGGCGGGGAAACCCCTTGCGACGCCGATCCGGCTCTCGTCCATCGATTTTGTACGAGTTCGGGGCCAGACCAACACCTGTTACCGCCAGTGGGTGGGCGAGAGGGAAGGATGG